AAAGCTTTGAAAAAAATCGATTTTATCTTTTATTTTTCACAAATTTTGAAACTTTATTTTTGCTTTTATTATTCATATTCATTTTTTGGGACCTATTGTGCACCACCTGAACAAGTCTCATGATTTCAAATCTGTGTTTTGGAGCTCTGGAATCCAAAATAAGCAGCCACTTTTCACTGTCTAGGCACTGTACATTGTTGCATGGACTGCAACACGGAGATGAAAAGTTTGGAAAACACACAACACACAATACTTCAAAAGAAGTTGGTCTATAGAACCAACTGTTTTCTTTGATTTGAGAAGCAGTTTTTCAATGGGGGATATCTCTACTACAACTGCTACAGATGGTTTGAATTTTCTATCTGTGAGTAATATGAGTCTGCTATCCAAGAATTCTATTTTCAAGAATCCTTGATTTATAAATCATAATCTTACATTATTCTTGGTTCTGTTAGAGAGTAATCAGCTTGTGAGAAGGATTCACTCAAGTTATTAGCCCCGTTTTTAATTTTAGAACATGGAACTAGAATGAGGGCCTTTAGGCTGTACCGTAGGGCATGAAAAATTGAATTCCCCAGAATTTTTATTCCTCTAATTATCACATCACCCAAAGTGATGATTGCCAACAACCAGTGTTTGGCCTCAAAGTGAAGAATTCCAACAACAGATCTGCCCACTTGTTTTCAATTTTTGTGCAGAAGACGGAAAAAATGACCGATTTTGAAGATTGAATCCCATGGTACAACAGGCCCTCAATTTTCTGGCAAAGTATGGCTTGATCATATGCAGATGTCCCAGTACTTGAGTCAGATACTTTTTTTCTGCCTCTTGTTAGCCTGGTTCAGAATCACAACATCCAGTTATTATCAGCAAGACTGTCCAAATAATCATTTGTGATTAGAAAATCATAAGTGGATCCATTCGTAGTCCTCAATCCCCCAATTTGATTTTCCCAGATCCATCCCAAAACAAGTTGCTATCAAAAACGTTTGACCAGGTGATCTGGTGTGGACTGGGCTATTGGTTCATGACTTCCAATAGGTCCTTGCTATTCCTTCATTTATCTGTTCTGAAATTGCAAGAAGTTGATGTCAGTTGGTTCCCATCACCAAATGCAACTTAGAATATGTGGCTTATAATGTAGATCTTTAATAATTGGGTGCTCTCATAGATTGATGGGAAACACTCAATTCAACTCAGTTGAAGTCTCATTTTCTGGTCAGAAAACAGTCAGAAGTACTCCATAATCCCACTTATAAAATCATCATCATTGTCCAGGACACCAGTTGCACGTAGACTAAAACAATTCAAACTGATTGTTTGCATGCAAAGAGTCAATGAATGAATGCACAATGGGTTGATTTTGCTGCCAAGTTCATGGTCCATATCTAAATGGGGAGGGGTCTTCGACAAACAACATAGGTGCAGTGGCCGGTGGACATAGGCAATATTCTCTGGCTGTTGGACGCTTGGACCTTGTACTGCAGACGATCGAGTCCCTCTGTTGTTTCAAGCATTCAAGGGATGTGAGGAGTATTATGTAATAGGATGTACTGTTATGTTCTGTGATGTTGGTTCATGTTGGGTGTTATGTATGGGCTGAACTCTAACACTGATCACAAGGCCGAGAAGTCAGACTGAGTTCGAAACGGTCAACAGAACAAGAACCCACCAAGAACCCTTTCATCAGATCGTCCCAACGTCAGTAGTCAACAGCCTCCTTTCAATCCACCACTTCCAACCGCAACTCACACTCGCTTGATCTCTCTCTACAGGAACACTCTCGTTATCATATATAAGCCTCTCCAGAGCGAACCGAAATGAGTCGACTGACGCGTACCAGATCCACTTTCCTCATGTCGCAACAAGAGGGGGAGACCCCCAACCCTCAACAATCAACATCTCAATCCTCAGAATCTAATAGCATCCCCAACCGACCCATCAGGATGATCAAAACACGATCCATGTCATCAGCTGCCAACCCAAAACCAACCACGATCGCCTTCGGTGGTCACGTACCTCCCAAGCAAACCACAGCACAACCTAAACCAGCCACCAAACGAAACCCGAAACTCACCAAAGTCAATCCACCCACAGACGATCAGAATCAAAAACAACAGCAATCAACCTCTGATCGAAGACCAACCACCCGCCAAAGAGCTAACCCAAAACCAAAACCATCAGCCAAGACCTCCAACAAGTCACCTGTCGTGTTGATCGAACCCATAACGGAGAGCAATCAGTCGAAAAAGGCAGTCATTCAACCCACCAATCTACCCTCTCAACATACTTCCACTAGCCCTCAAGCACCACCACCCCAGCCCATCGTCATCGTTCCCAGTCTATCTCCTCAAACTGCCTCTACCAGCCCTCAAACCGCACCGACACCTACAGTGATCATCCCTAGTCTACCCTCCATCTCAAAATTAAAGGCTCCTCAAAAAATACCTGGTAAGCAAATAGTCATCCTGCTTCTTTTACCCGCCAAGATTCGATCAGCAAACCTTCAAAACAAAACTGATTCGATCACACTTGCTTGCAGTTTCCGCCCCGAAATCTCTTTTGTGTGATCCACCGAAAGCATCTTGTTCTAGCACATCCACAACCTTACCGCCGGCTGACTCTTTAGACCGGTCCTCTCACTCACATCTTCCACGTCTCATACCCCCGGCGAAAGTCAACGAAGAACGTCCCAGGAAACGTTTGTTCGAAGATGTTGACAATAGTTCCAATGATATATTCTCATTTCTTGACCATAAACCGCAACCCAAGAAGCCCGTGAAACCGGCCACCAGACAAGTCTTTAAAACTGCACAGTCCGCTTTCCTCAAAAACGCTCAGAGCACTTCTCAAGCTCAAGCAGCCAAGAACAAGCATCGGGTCTTGGCTTCAACTAAGTTGCTTACCGGAGCTCAACCTCAGGCGAAAAAGCTCAAAAAGACTCACCTCGAATCATCCTCAACCTCTCTCGAATCCCAGATTTCAGGAACCTTGGCGCAGATTGAAAAACTTACTGCCGCACCTGGGAACTCTCAGCCCCAGCCGTCTTCAACATCTCATCATGAATCTCAGCTTGTTACTAATTCATCAACGCTTCCAACAACCGAGTCAAACGAAGAAAAAGATCCGTCCCCTCGAGCAACTCCTAATCCGATCTCACCTCCGCTCGATCAGCCGGTCCCTAGTTCCGAGGACGAGCATGAACCAGCTTCTCAAGATTCCCATTCATCTCTTCCTGTAGAAGTCGGCCTTGGAGAACAACCACCCTCCAACCCGGCTGCTACTCATCTACCGTCTCCTGTTAAGCGTGCATTTGAGGCTACCTCAATCCAACCCCTTCCTCCCACCCTCTCCCCTACAACTCATCACACAACCCTCCTCGATCCATCAACCACTCCGACTCAAGAGATCAGTGCCGATGCGATCGATTTTCTCAGTCCGAAGAAACACGACAAGCAATCATCTCAGCCTGAGACCAATTTGCATGAACGCGATAATCAAGCTCCCCGGACTAATGGTACCTCAGATCTGGAACAAGATCTTCCACACACCTCTCCTCCGCCAGCAGCGATTGTCAGCGATCACCAAGACAGCAACGATAAGAATGAAGATCGTGGTTCTCAATCATTTTCAAACGAAAATACCGCTGTACGGACTACTGATTCTACGAATGACGCTTCTGTCCAAGTGCAAAATATTCCTGCTCACCCGACGCCCCCCAACCACTCCCTAAGTCTCCAAAGTGGAACCTCTGAGCTACCCGGTTCGTCGGTCATTCCACCAGACCCATCAATCCAAGCTAGCACAACTTCGGATACAGAATCTATATCTCCGCAATCTTCCAGTGATCCTGTGGAACCACCAGTACATTCAGATGAAGTATTGCCGACATCCGTGGCACGGGATATTACACCGCCACCGATCCGTGCTGCAACCCCAGAGCCAAACATCGAAGTAGAATCTACGACCCCGAAGCCATCTCCAAAGTTCATACCCACACGGACCAGTCCGATCAAGTATCCCACCCTACCTACTTCAATACCTATTATGAACCCTCAGCCATCAGCTCAATCTGAAGTACCTCTTCCTGGGTCGACCACCCATCAGCCTTTGACAAGCAGGTTATTGATCGAGCAAGCGGCCAAACGGCCATCGATGCTACCAAGAAAGGCATTGAAACCCAGCATGGGTACCAGTCAACCATTAACATTCAACGTCATCCCCAGCCTCGATGCCATCATTGAAAACTCACCCGAAAAGAAACCAGTGCGTGATGCCCTCAGCGCCGCGTCACTTAATCGGCCCCGAGGGTTTGGCGCGCCGTCGAGGATGTTCTTGGGCGGTGGGATGAAATCTAAAGCCGATGGAATCTTCTCACGACCTCCAGCAGGTCCGAATGTCCGCTCCAATGGCGCCAGCGGAGGATCTTCTAGTGGAGCTCAACTTCACCAGGAGCTTTTCAGCACTGTTGGGCAGCAGGGTCAAGTAGAGGGAACCAAAGAGTCGGAGCACTCGAACCAGAGCGTCAAAGAAAATGCACCCGAAGAAGATGATGCGTCGGTTGATACCTCGACTACTAGCATCGCCACCCATCACTCCTCCACAACGGACTCCTCCATGACTAGCTCTAGTGAACCCAATCAGCCTCAATTCTCGGGCAACATTTCGCTAGACACTCAAGATCGACTGATGAAACTACAGAATATGTTGACAAAGATGGGCCGATCGGAGACTGCGCCCGGAGCTAGTAGCGCTTCTTCGGACCGAGCGACCCATCGCGCTCGATATAGGGAGTACGAAGTCCCGTTGAAAGACGAGCCGGAGGAAACCCGGGCCGATCGTTCTAACAACACTGCGATCAACTCTAGGAGTAGACGTAGGTCATCCTCCGTCCCGCTAAATTACGCGGAAGACAACCTCTCCAGATCTGTCTCTCGAGCCCACAACCCGTCCGTCCGTGCCCAGCCAAAAGCGGGCCCTCCTGCCCAACGAAGAGCCAGCAACATCCTTCCCAGCGTCAGACCAGACATTAGCTCTCCGGGCCAAGGCTCTTCAGACTCGTCTTCAGGACCCTCAGCCTCTAAGGATCGCTTATCCGCTTCCGTTTCCGCTGGCATCAATCCTGGAAACTCTAACGCTACAAAGAATGATAGAGCCAAGAAAAATCTTGCACCCACACCCCTCAAAGATGTCGTCGCTTTTGTTGATGTTCGGACCCGTGAAGGTGACGATGCTGGAAAGGTATTTGTGGAAATGCTGAAAGGATTAGGTGCCAAAGTAAGTTATTTCCAAATTGTTACAAAGAATGAAATTAGGAAACAGGCTTAAACGTAAAACTGAATCATCGTTTTTTCTTCCGATCAATTGAATAGGTGTTAGGAAGACTGACATTCCCGCTAACACACATCATATTCAAAGCAGGAAAGCCGACGACGCTGGACAAGTACATGCACCATCCACGGCCGAAGCCAGCGTTAGTGGGTATCGGATGGGTGGTGCGGTGTCGTGAGATTGTTGGAAAAGCAGAAGAGCGCCCGTACGCGATCGACATCTCCTCCGCGCAGGCGCTCGCCTCCTTCAACCCCGACACCTCTCACCACACCGCACTCCCCTCGGGAGGACCTATGAATCTCGCCGGCCATAACGCTCCCACTGGAAACGCTAATCATCGCAGGAAAAGCATGGAACCTAAGGCGCTCTCGTTGCTCAACTCTGGCCTCCAAATAAACCAGACCTCTTCTTCTTCCTCATCTTCTTCGACTACGAATCCCACGTCCAATCCGGACTCTTTTGCTACTCGGAACTCACTCAGTCAATCGTGCATCAGTAAGCCTTCTTTTCCCCTCTTCCCGTGCTCCATTTTTCTTCTTCTTTCTTTTGACAAAATTGAGTAATGATGATTATCTCCAGGTAAACCGATGACTAGCACTGGTAGTATTCATTCAACGAACGCCGGACCCCATGAGGATCCTCATCATGTCCTGGCTCAATCGATCGAAAAGGCGCGGAGGAAATCGCTCCAGTTCTTGCCCAAAGGTCAGCTCATATAAATCACTAATCACCCTCTTTTATCTTCGTCAAAGAATAATCAAATCGGTCACATATTCGAGAGATCCGTCTATTCGTCCATTTGGAATAAGTGGCTTCTTAGACCAACCCGATTCTCTCTCTAGCCCTTTCTTTTGTTTGGTCTCTCATGTCGATCTATCATCGACACTTTTCTTTTCCCTTCGGATGCACACCCCAGTTTTTATTTCAAGTTTCTGCGGAAGAAGAGCCTAGACCAAAAACTGATGCACACACATACCTTGGTTTTTTTTTAATCCTTCAACAATCGAAATTGGTCTTCCCCCACTTTATGTACATGTGTATCACATTGATTGGGGGATCGATGTCCATAGTCGGCAGTCCGTTGGCCAACAAACTCTTCCTTCCCGACGCCCATCGATCCCAGGACCCCGACGGAGACCCAAGCCACCCCGCAGCAGGCCCGTCTTCGCCCACCCCCTCCTAACCATATCTTCCTCATCACCCTCATCCCCCTTCACTTACCTTGCAATGACACCCTTTCCTTCTAGACTTGTATGTGTATATATATACATATATCTTTATTTTTTTTTTTCCTTACTCATCTTGTATTCATTCTCTTTTTGTTCTTTCTTGCTCTTCAAATACACCCAATCTTCCATGCATCCCTACGTTGTTTTTTACTTGTATATGTATATTGTCCTATTCTGCACTTCTAATATCCTTCCCATCCTCTCACCATGTGTACACATGTGTGGTAGGATATAGATGTACTCATGTATGCATATACATATAATACATTAATCCTTTGGTTGACTGTTCATCAAACTCACTTCAATCAATTTCGCCTTGTTTTCTTGTCGTCTGTTTGAGTTTTTCTTTGTGGGAAATGTTGGATGGATCAGATAATCTGACTCACACACACAATATCTTGGGGGCTTTTAGTGAGAAATTATAAATGCACATTCTTTTAGAGTTTGATGATTTCTTTTTCCTTCTTCGTCTTTGTTGGATGATGTATATGTATTATCAGAAGGATGAGTACTGTACAACCAAGCAATCATGATCGTAATATTGGCAACATCTCTGTAATCAACACTATACATGTTTCTACACAGCAGGAGGATCTCCCAATTCCTCCCACCTTACCTATAACCTGAAGTCTTACAAGAAACCTCATTGGCAAGAAATCCTACTGCGAAGGCTCAGAAAATCCCTCCGGACAATTGTCCATTTGGAAGCGCTTTTGTCAAGCCAGGGGTGGAATGGATTGCTATCCAAGTCCAGTGTCATACATCTCTGCAACCCCAACTAAAAAAAACTTTCCAAACTGAGGAAAATTGCTTTTTTTTGGGGGGGGGGTTGAGGAGGATGCAGAGGACTTACATATGTGCACCTCTCTTTTTTTTTGGTTTTCCTTGCTCTTATGAGATATGCTCGTTTATTCATATCCTTCTTCATCTCTCTCAAACACACATACATACAACACAGACCATCCAACAGGCTCTAAAATGTTTTGCGATTTTTTTGGTCTCAAGTGTAAACCTTTTGCCACAAAAAGAAGTTAATGTTAGGGGGTATGAAAAACAAGAAATCCTCCATTAGAACTCATCCAATTGTTTTTTTTTTTCAATCAATGGGTCCCCTAAGTAAGGGAGGAAGATGAAGAACCAACCGTGTTATTTTTTTTTAAAAAAAATGGTGGATTTTTGGATCCAAAACCAGTTGATTACATAATGGTGGATTTGCCTATATCTGTAACCCCCTTTTACGCCACTAGCATTAATTCAATAGACTGACTGGTACAAGGACAAACCTATCAATCTGATGTATACAGTATTGACTTCATTCAATCAACAATTACTGTCTGGGGTTTGATTCAAAAAACCTACTAAAGCTGCTTTTTATATAAAAAATCTGATGTTCATGATGTGCAACACACAAGATGATTTGACAATTGCCAATTGCACAGAGTCATCAAAATGAAAAAAGTGATTTTTTTTCTGCTCAAGAAACAAACCTGTATGAGTTTTTTTATTTTCAAGCTAACTGCAGAGCAATTTATTTGTTCTTCCCAAGACTACATGTAAGCCATGATTTCTTGTCTTTCTTGCTCTGAGTAATAGATCTAGCTCCAAAGGAGTAGTCCTAGCCATGGCAACAATAATGATTTTTAAATGTTATTTCTACATTATTCAGTCGAAAAACAAACAAATCAATCAGATCTTTTGTTCGATTAAGAGGTAATTTTCTACAAGGTTTACATTACTATTAGTATGATGATTGTTATGAATGATTCGATCAGGATGATTTTCAGTATGACCATTGGTAGTAGTACTACTGCTACTAGTATCATTACTACTATTACAGACTGCAATAAGTCGTTCGAGGGCTGCCGGATGAGTTCTTCCGAATGCATGGGGAGAGATTTCGGCGAGTGCAGCGACGTCGCGGGAGGTGAGATGAGGTGCAAGACCCTGTGTTTTCAAGTCACGAAGACGGAGGTTCGAGCTGGCCTGGAAGGCTTGATTGGCCAGCGAGACTGTTGCAGGTTTCGAGGGGCTTGAGGTCGGATCGGGCCGGGTGAGAGGGTCCGCGGGGGAGGAGTACGGCCGGGCAGATGTAGACGCGACGGGGGCTTCGGTGAGGCTTTGGCTCTGCGACTCAACCGGCTGCGTCCGGTCGATAGACATCGTCGTGGCTAGCTCGCAGTCCGCCGGAGTGGCCACCGAGCGGTCCGATCGGATCAGCGATAGCAAGTCTCCCAAAAGCGTCTTCAGATGTACCTCCAATGCTATCAGCGCCAACGAGCTCGCCGCCTTGTCTACCCCATTCATTAGCCCGGAATCGTACGCTATCAATGACATCCGGTCCTTCAACGTGTCAAAATCCGGTAGCTGCTTCGATTCGGAACAGATTGGTGCTTGTTGACATCGCATGTAATCTTGATACAGAGCTACAAAATCGCCAGCAGGGTATTTTTTTATTCAAAGCGCAAATACAAAAAAAAAATGTCAGTCTAAATCTAAGATGGTCTTTGGAAAATATGAAACTGACTGGACGAGGATATCTTCATCTTTGATGCCAGAGGAGTGTTCATCACGTTTTCAGTGCGTTCGGGATAGAGATAATGGCAAGCAGAAAGCTGGCGAGGAGCAAGTTGCTGAGGATTGAATTTGTTCGAGTTCAGTTCGAGTTCGTTTTCCTTCAACAAGGCGATCTGTTTGAGCCTGTTCCTTTCGCGTTGGCCGAGGGCCATGACGGCCTCTTTGAGCTTGCGTTTCTTCGGGTCCTTCTCCTCGTTCTTCGTCTTGACTTTAGGAGGCACCGGAGGCACGGGTACTCGTTTCCGTTTGTGCCAGCCCTCGCCAGTCGTAGACGGGCCGGGTTCCTTGAGTGGATTGGAGATCGCCGGATCCGGCCGGGTGGTGTTGTAAAGGATCGATAAGATTAATGCGTTGTGTAAGCCGACTATTGAGAGTAGATTCAAGAGCTCAAATGAGGACACGTTCTAGAGGGGAAGGAAGATGAGGAGAGAAAGACTTACCCAATGTTTCCGATTTGAGTAGATAAGCTGTTTGAACTTCGAATTCGGTCCGATCGAGTTTCCCCGTAAGGAATTTGACGAGTGAGGTCCAATAGGCGAGTCCTTCGTCCTCCGACAGAGCTTCGGCGATCGCCTGTTTGATCGCCAGTGTGTCGGCCCTCTTGTTCGGTGGAGGAGGGTAGATCTCGGCTGGTAAGGGGCCAGTGAAGGGGTCGAGCATGATAATACGTAAGATGAGTTCAGTTTGGCCAGTTCGTTTGATTCTTTATCGATCGAGAGTGTGTGTTTCTAAATCTGAGTTGTTCATCCGATCGTCGGTGCTCGATTTTAGAGTGGTTGATTGATAGTGAAGTTGGTTGGGTTGATGGTTTTTGTTGGTTTTTGATGGTTGGTGTTGGTTGTGATGATGATCGATGGTGTGGTAGGACCAGTAGATGGGCGCACTGGAACGGAACTTGCTCAGCCAGGCTTGCGCTGAGAGCACGCTGCTTACTCGCAGCCGCAGCTACACACATGCACATGCATGCACCAAAAATATGTAAACAGACAACAGAAAAGGAATGCTTTCGATCAAGGGAGTCGACAACTGTCACAATGAAGTGGGATATCAATAATTAACCATCTCAAAACTGACTAAGCACAAAACAAAAACTTTGAACTTCCATCAAGTCTATCTCTGAACGTTTGACATCCAGATACATACTGGGTCAGGAGTCAGCACCAGCTGCTTGGGTTTTGGCCTTGGGGTAAGACTTGGAGTGAAAGCTTGGATTATGTAGCCATACTATTCTACATAGGTTTTATCAGTAAGCTCTTTGTTTGCATCAAATATATTAGTGGTGTTCAATGCTGATTCCACAGGTGCATAAACACAAAATCATAGATGATGTTGGCTGAGATTATGTAAGCAGCTCCCAGCCAAAAGGCTTGTAGGATCTTATGTTTTTACCTTTATGTGTCAACTTTGAATATCCCTATTTGTTCTTTATTTCTCTATCAGGTTGGGTATGTGATAGCTAACAAGTTGAGGAATATACTGCACACTCCTCAAGATCAGCCCTCTGTCTGGTGCTCAAAATTGACCTAAAGATGTGTGCAGATAAATTCTAAAATGAATTCTTGACAAAACTGCTAACATCAAACATTTCAAGATTGATCCATGCATCAGAATCTTTTTATGGTTTTATGTTTCTTCATACGCTTTCAACTTTGAACAATGAATACTCCATATCCTTGGGGAAAAAAATTTCTAATCAATTTTCAGAAGAATTTGATCCAGGAAATTTGAAATGATTTGTTAGGGCAGTTCATGCACTTCTCATAGCCAAAAGTTCAAACTATAGATGACCTTGAGGTACCTGGAACCCACAGGCTGGTACCCCTCTATCCCTGATGGTACCTGCCAAGTGGTGCCGGGTGAAGTACTTGGCGTCCGCTATTGGGCAAGAAAACCACCTTTAAGGATACCTGCCCCCAAATAAAGATGGACATCAGTACCCGTTTGGAGGTACCCGGCACCTGTTTTCCTGGTACCGCCCGGACCCGTCTGGCACCTGCCAGGGGGTGCCAGGTGAGGTACCTGGTGTCCATTTCTGAGCAAAATGAAGGTGGTACCAGGGTAACGCTAGAGGTACCCTCTTTAATGCGCAGTCACTGAGTAGGGGGATGGCCATTGCCTTCTACTAAAAAATGGGATGATGAAGGAAGGGGTGTTGGCCAAGTGGAAATATGGTATTCAGACTGCTAAGAAGGGTAAATCAGATGGGAAAGGTAAAGGAAAGGTGATAGTATTAGAAGATTAGCTCAACACAATACTCACATTTAGTGAGAAAAAAAAGTGAACTGCAATTTCAAGTCATAAGAGTGCCATTTGCACCGCAGCCGCAGGTACCGCTGGTACCTGCCAGGGGGTGCCAGGTGAGGTACCTGGTGTCCATTTCTGAGCAAAACAAAGGAGGTACCCGGGTACTGATGGCCATCTTTACCCCCAAACCCCTTCCTTGGTGGCTCAACTGAGACCAAGTAGGTCTTAGCCAGGTTTCTGGGGAGGACCTCTATTTCTAATTAGTTCCTAGGGGCTTGATCAAGACTAATCAGTTCACTGGTAAGGACCCCCCTTGGAAACCTGATTGGTCTCAATAAGGTTGCCCAGAAGGACCTCCGGCAATCAGGCACCAGGGCCAGAGTGATGCTGGTACCCACCTCAAGTACCACCAGCACCTGCCATATAGCTCCAGGTGCAGTACCTGGTTCTGGTTTGTGGCTAACAAAAGCAATTGGTACCCAGGTCCCATGGGGTCATCTTTGGTTAAAACCTTGTTCAAATTTGAATTTTGCTTATGTAGCAGAAATTCTTGAGGGCCAGCTGGGTGTTTTTTTAAAATATGAGCCCCTCTAGTCTCATGTGTGAGCGCTGAGAAGTTAATTGGCTTCTCTGCCTGAGGATTTAATTGGCTTCTCTGCTCATTTCAAATAAACATCTTGTTGCTGAAAATTTGTATACAAATGTGTATACAAATGTGAACCATCCTATTAGCAGCAAGTTTGGGCCCAGGCAACATGGATTTCACTGCTATTATGTTGCATACATTGGTGATATATGCTTGTGTGATGATTTTTATTATGATTATGAATTGCCTTCAATGCTGTAGAGCATTCTTCCTTCAACTTGAATGTGTGAACAATTGTATCAAACAGTTCCTACCTTGATGTTTCAACACCAGATGCCATTTGTGTCATTTTCCAGGGCACAAAAGGTGACATGAAATAATCATCACACAATTTCCATGTATGTAGCACTTGTGGCCTAAATTATGGGGTTTCAGTAGCCAAGTCAGATCAACAGCAGAATCTAGGAGGAAGTGATTGGAACGGCACGACCGATAGCGCCTGTTCCGATACCCGCTGTCAAGCCAAGGATTTTGCCTATGGAAATTAGACTAGGGAACAAGACCATCCCAATCATTTTAAGGTCCGTTGGGATATTGCTTTTCTCCCTACAAAATCCGGCCAGAATCACATTACAAAAACACAGTAGTCAACTTAGCAGGCAATCTTGAACCAGGTTATCCAGAATTGTCACTCAAAACCTACTTTGAAATCCAGTACTTGCCATCTGCTCCTTTGGTCAGATCAAGACGAATCAGCAATGGGATGCTGACATTGGAAAGAAAATTATAGTGTAAGATGGAATCCATGGTCTCGACCAGCTCTGCATTAAGAAGGGGCGTGGAAAGTTTTGAATTCCGTTTTCAGCTGACAAGAATGTTGCAGGAAAGACTAGGAAAAAGCTTTTCCAATTGCAAGAAGTACATAAAACCGGACATATTATCTCTGAAGTCTTTTTCTGAATAAAAAATATGTACCTACCTATTGTACAATGTTCGTTTGTCTCATCAAACATGACTCCCTGGAACTCGACCCGGTTATTGATCGAAAACAATCGTCTATCTTGCACCCATTACGATCACTACGACCAGCCTCCAAAAATCAAATCAAAGAATGGAGAATGCGAGAAAGGACTAACAGTATTTCGTATATACTCTTCACATGTATGTCAGATTTCGAAAGCTTGGTATGGATCCATAAAGGGTTCGAAATAGTGGCATCGGGAGTGAAATATCTAATGTGCCGAGTTTCCAATCAGAATCAGTCAGCGTAAGACTATAGAGGTGATGATTACCCAAACGCACTTTGATACGTTTTCTCCGACGACCGCATGTCGGTAGGGCTCTATCAACGATCGTATAACTCCCTTAATCTATTGGGAAGGCAAGCCCAAAAGGTCGGATTAAGTTGAGAATTGCAGAAGAGACGCGCATATAAGCTTACCTGGTTGACTGGGTCATCCATTCTTGAGAAATCTACCAGAAAGTACTTGCGAAGACGCTGGGGGGAAGACTAGCTCTCCTGGCTATCGGTATACGGCTTGGGAAATTATTAGGAGTGATGCAATTCAAGTAGTCTGGCAAACGCATGTAGGAAAAAGGCTGCCTATTATTTGTCATATTTCAGAATGAGCCCTTATAAAGAAACAATTTCCGACGAGAATGTCCATCCAATCTTCGAGCCGAACCGTCTCATCAAACGCAAAGGTTGTCAATCAAAATTAACGGTCTATTTTCCAAAGTCAGACTCCCCAGTTTGCCAACAATTTACTCGTGCCAAGATAATAAACAAATGCGGAATATCGTTGAGTGTGTATGTCGGAATTGTGATAGCAAAGCCCCTATGTGTTGTGCAAACTGTCGACACAAGGAAAAACAGACAAAAAGCCGAAGGGAAAAGTCAGTAACCCAAAACATATCCATAAATGTAATCAAAGTGGGGTGACACAACCCTGTGCTTGCAAGTTTCCAAAATTCTCTTTGGGGTTCAAGCCGGTTCCGAAAAATCCAGTCTATTTCTTGATGGACTAGCACCTCCGCGGAGCAATTCATATACTTTCCAATTTGCGGTTGTGAAGCCTAACAAAGATTGAAGATCATCAATTAAAGTAGGTTTGATTGCCTCTAAAATATGTTTTGCAGTGGGCGCAGATTCTGCAGGATTTTCTTGGATACATAGCTCCTTAGAATGCGCATAAGAATTGGTATGTAGGCTAATCAACATTCATGAGTCTCGTCAGATTGAGGATCAATCAATTTCTGGACCCAGCGGCTTCCGGCCTCATCGGCATCCTGACGAACGCAATGCCCTCCTTATTAGATTACAATGCAGTGTGGGCAGAGATAAGAGGCAAGAGTTGTTATGTATCACGGCCGTTGTAAGTGCTCACCTCTCTTCGCGTTCGCATTTCACAGCTTGCTGATAAAACGACTGGACCGTCAGGGGATCTCGAGCTCGTAGGTTGCGCTTAGTTGCCTCTGGAAAGTATGTGTCGTAAGTTGACCACAACGTCCACACTCGGCAATTGTATCTTCTTTGGAATTGCATTTCCTCTCAGGATCGAAGTACGGTGGAAATCCATAGGGGAAATCTCAAGAATGGTACGTGATTAGTGATTGAATATTATTCCTTCTGATTTTTACTCGATTTTTAGATATCCACACGCTAATCAATTTCTTTTCTCCTGTAGCCCGACATGACCTGGAGCTGAAAGATGAACCCAAAGGCCTACAGACATAGCAGACTCTTATTCATCCAATCCTATGAGAAAGAGCGAAACTACGTAAATCCAACAAATAACAGTGAATGATCCTGTAGTGAAGCTCCACTTTCTGAGGCGGTGACCTGAGGCTGATTAGGAATATAGTTCATCAGGAACAGCCTTAACTGGCCGCAAGCATTGGGTGAACCGTGATGCCGACTGGAGGACCGGAGGATGAGGTCCGGGGGCGCTAGCGGCGGCACCGTATTTGGGACGACCGAGATGAGCAAATTCCAAAAATCACAACAGATCATGTTCTGCAGCTTTTTGAAAAGTTAAAACCAATCAGCCGAAGCCACTCAGATGTATTTATCCCAGGGAGTACATCATTCAAGCAAACAGCTTCGTACAGCATGGTGATTGATCCTACGTGCGATTGGCCAATCCAGCCACACTGGCGAATTTCGAGTGTCTGGAAGTCTATGTATGCCAAACATAAAACCCGCCAACAGCAGACCTCAAGTTGAGCCCCACTGCTGCCACCACCAGCAGTCCATCCCACAATCTGCTTTTGCCTACTCGCTTCAATCCCAATAACTATCAAAAAATCATTCCTATCATGTGGGCCATTGGTCTTTATAACAGTCTTGTTATTCTGTTGATTGGCACTTTCAAGCTTGCCGGTTCAACTCCGATGCCCTACAGTGCGCGTGAGTGAGACAGTTGTGATCAGTTTTTCCTTCCTATGCAGACCCAACATCTTCCGGGATGGATCCTAAAGACTCTCTCTACATGCGCTTCTTAGTTAATTGCCGTGCGGCGCCGCGAGCGATCCAAGAAAAGTGTTGTTATAAAGGTCATTGTAAGTCCTCACCTTTCTTCTCATTCTTTCATAGCTAATTAGCTGAAGAAACTACTCTGCCGTTAGGGAATCCCTTGCGCCCTGGTTGCCAGTAGATACCTCTGCTGGAAAGTACGGTCAGTCAATCACGATATCCGCGACCGGCATTTGTATCCTAATTTGATTTTCATCTCCTCCTCTCTAGTCGGGCTTGAAATACGGCGGCAACCAACAGGGTCAATGTCCAGGATGGTACGTGTTTAGTCATTGGATATCCGTATGAGTTTCTCCAATTTTGGTTACCCACACACTCATCAAGCCCTTTTCCTCATATGTAGCCCACCATGAGGAGTCCAAAAACACCAGTTCATCAAAGACTGTTATTTCTATTTCATTTGAATTCCAAGCCCATGTGATCAAAACCAAACGGTCGAGATTCATGGGATATTCTGGTTACTTTATGCATACTGCTCTAACCAGCTATTCTTGAATTTCAAGACAAAAAAGAAATGCACAGAGTTTATTTATAAGAAAAAAAAACTGATCCACTGATTTTAGTGAATCAAATATGCTTGTGAAAGTGTCAAAGTCTGAAATATCCCATGTAGAGAGAAGAAAGCAAAACTATCTTTGGAAAATGATATGAAAAGGGACGATGGCCTGGGCTCCGGAACCCCACGCTTCTAAGGCCGCACTTTGCTGAATGCAAGTGATAAGGACTGAACCAGATGATAGAAAGACTGGTAGGTAAAAGGAAAGTCACAAATAAGGCAACACAGTCTTGGGGAAGTTCAAGCAAGCAATGGAATTCCAGGGTGATCCAATTTACGTTACAAACGAGACCCCCTTGCATCACATCAGATGAGGTCAGAAAAATCTATTGAAACTCCGGAATCAAGAGCAAAGATATACACGATATGAGACGAGGAAAGTAACTACATAGACACCACTGGAATCAGACAGCTCTATGAAGAAAGGAAACTAAAGACAAAACAATGCTGGTTTGCGGGTGTAAGGACGAGTTCTTCAAAGACCTTTACCATAGTTTCCTTTTTCGTAGAAACTTTGGATCCGGTTCACAATCATTTCTAAGGCTGAGAGCCATCTTTCTAATTCTGTATCAACTCTTTCCTTCGTCCCCATTTTTTCATAAAGATCTGCACGATAAGGACACGCTTTCATAGCAAGCTAGGAAGAGAATATTCAGTCAGATAAACCTGTTTCTCAAGTGTTTGAAAATCGGAATGGGATATTAAACTCACCCCGAACAAGGGTTTTACTACAAATGAATGATATTGCTTCAAGGTGACTTCATAACCTTTTGTAAACGAAACCGACAGCTCATCTCCTGGATTTTTCTGAGATAATCGAAGACCTTCATAGGTGAAGTGTAAACCACTACAGCAATTCATGACATTAGCTAGCTTCGCTGTTGGGTTGTATCAATGAATACAGTGAACTGCATTTACCGGGTTAGCCAAAGTAAGCCTTGGGTGGCATCTTTCTTCTTCTCGGCCTTCTCGTTCTCAACCAGTAACTCAAGGGTCTTTGATTTCTCAGGGCAAGCATCGTAGCGAGTACGGATTTTCTGTGGAGTATGACACAGTTGGAAATTGATGTCAGTACTCATAAAGGCAAAAAAAAAAAATGACTATCGGGAGCAAAGAGCGCTTACCGCAATATTACCGCTGAGATCATTCTGCACAACGGTAAACGCTTTACTTCCAAAAAGATCTGAAGACAAGAGAGAGACAAAACATTGTAAGTTACGGTAAACAAAATTCTGCGATTGTAATGGAGGCGTCACTCACCGAACAACCTGACAAGGTCTTCACAGGCTTCCAAGAACGCTAAAGTGTCCACACCTTCGTCGGTAACTGGTACATCCGCGAAGGAGCGCTTCATCTGATCGAAGTAGCATGTGTTGTCGGCAGCCATCGTTGGGGTGATTGATGTTGTTGAGGTTGGCGGTTAAGGGTCAGTTCGGACTTCGGATGTGTGTGGTGCTGACAAGATACGCCTGCAGAGGAATTGGAGAAGTGTGGTGCGTCTATGGTAAAGGCTGAAGTTGGAGGTGACGTAACCTAGGTCATAGACCCGCTTATGAAACTTGTCGGATTTCCATGCCACTCGGACTGAACTGCTCGACGAGACTACAGTTGCACTTCCTTCAAGCCCCGGATACCTTCGGATATACTCTCAAGACATAATTTTGTTACTTTCTTTGTTCCTCATCGGAGCTCATCGGACTGTCTCTCTGTTATGTAGGCTTGTAGCTTCATCTTCAGTCTCCCGGTTGGGATGACATCCCATGTAGAACATTCAATCTACCTACACCACTGTCGTTTTTGCTTTAATTTTAAACAAAATTATGGATTTGACTAAGCCACAAAATTCATGGAAAGGTTGTGGATTCTTATTTCTTACATTTTTCTCGGTTACATTGTATTATTACTTGGTGTTCTTCCTGTCACAGTCAAGAGTCTCAATGATAAATGATACACTCTTGCCTGTTGAATTCCTAAACTTCTTTAATTGTAAGACCTGACCTTGGAAGCAGTCCTCATGTCTCATCTTCCTTGATGGGGGAAGAGGATTTTGAGTCAGATTCAACAATTGAAGATATTCAAATGCAACAAATGAAGATATTCAAATGCAACAAATGAAAAAACAAATACTTCTGATGTTCATGACTTTCACTGCCAAAGTGATTGTATCAGATTGCTACATCTGGCATTACATTAGATAAAAATACCTGATATTACATCAGGAAAAACTGGGATTGTGTCTACAAGAATTGATATTATATCTACCTAAAATGATATTGTGTCTATCATGAAAGATATTACATCAGACCAGCCTATTCAATGCCAGCATAACTGAATTCATATCTGATTTTCTATCTGATTTAATGCCCATGGGCTAAAAACTTGTATTGGATGTAAAAATCTGATATAAAATCAGTTATTTTTCAAATGCAACAAATGAAGATATTCAAATGCAACAAATGAAAAAACAAATACTTCTGATTTTCATGACTTTCACTGCCAAAGTGATTGTATCAGATTGCTACATCTGGCATTACATTAGATAAAAATACCTGATATTACATCAGGAAAAACTGGGATTGTGTCTACAAGAATTGATATTATATCTACCTAAAATGATATTGTGTCTATCATGAAAGATATTACATCAGACCAGCCTATTCAATGCCAGCATAACTGAATTCATATCAGATTTTCTATCTGATTTAATGCCCATGGGCTAAAAACTTGTATTGGATGTAAAAATCTGATATAAAATCAGTTATTTTGACATTAAATAGGTTGGGCTGATACAATATCTGTTATGATAGATATAACATAATTCTAGGTAGATATAATATCACTCCTGATAGATATAATACCAGTTTTGTCTGATGTGAAATCAGATTTTTTCATCTGATGTAATGCCAGATGTGGGAATCTGATATAATCCGTACCAGTGCCGTGGCTTAGTGGTAAGGGGAGTGAATTGTGGCACAGGGAGAGGGGCGCAACAGCTTTCCTTTGCCCCAATCCGGTGGAACTGCGGAGGGGATTCTCCCTACCGCTTAACCTGACTTTGTAGTCTATTGTATTACTATTTTAGGCGCTAACACAAAAGATAGCGCCAGGGCATGCCCGGAAGCAGGTTTTCAAGTGCTTCCCAAGCATGCCAAGTGTGGGTTGGGGGCAGGGGTTGTCCCCCCGTCTTTCGGGTGACTCCCGTCTGCGTCAACCACCCTGTGAAGGGTGGGGACGTCGGTGAGACCCTAAGAGGGAGGAAGGCCCCTACATACAACAAACAAAAAGTTCCCTTGCCATACGGGCAAGGGGGTACAAACTCAGACCCATAACTCAGGTTTACCTGAGCCAGAGAGTGACTATTATGTTTGTTGGGAACCTGACTGGGTGCAGCATAGGACAATGAGAGAGTTCATTACTGGAGTTTCTTCAAGGATGAGGCTTGCCAAGACAGGTCTAGATCTCTCATCAGTGAGATTGAATCAGACACTTTCATTGGAGAGTAGGGCTGTATGTAGAGCTTATAGCAATCAGAGACCCACTGTCCCAGAACGCAGATCTTGTCAATTGGGACTCCTAAAGCATTCCTGAGGGAGGCTCCTCCAACTCGGAAGGAATGCCCAGAGATCCCGGAGTAGTTCCCCTCAGCCCAAACGGCTGCCAGTGTTCGAGTCACTGTGTCTTTAGTGAGGTGGACCCGGGTGTTGTTGAGATTGAAATAGCCGTATAGAGAGGTTTCTTTTCCTGCAGCGTTAGCTAGGCGCCTCTTGACCGCTTCTACCGGGCAAAGAATATTGTCTAGAGGGTTCAGATGAATGCGTTGGAGCTCTCCGGGCTTTGCCGTTTTTGCACTCGGGAGAATCAAGATGGCTTTCTTCCCTTTACTAGAATCTTGAAATAGCACGTCGGATGTGAGTAGCGATGACAAGGGGTCTAGGGGTCCTCCGGATGAGAGGTAAGTCAGCTCTCCCAGCCTAGCCATGCCCCAGAAGGCCGAGATAGCTAAATTGAGGATGGCCCTCTCTTTGGGTCCTCCTTTTAGGAGTGATTTTGTGAGATGGACCATATGCTTCAAGTGGATAGCCCCTTTCTTCGGTGTTGATGCAATGGTGGTCTCGACTCTGGCGGAGGAGCGCAGAAGAATCTTGAATCTTTTCTCTATGCCAGTAGGGTAGGTCGCTTTATGGTACAAGTGCCACACCTGAATCCTGTGAAGGTATTTGCTAAGCGTGCTGGCTGCAATTTCCTGGCCGGTCACTTTATCCTTGTCTTGCCCCGCCCAAAAACAGAATCCGTAGATAGTATCTTCGTCTACCAGGAGTTTAAAGGATGATATCCCCTTTGAGGACATGAACTTGACAAATTTTTTGACTGCAGTGTTGAAACCCAGAAGCGAGTTCCACTTATACCCTCTCAGGAAGTGGAGGTCTTGAGGGGTAATCTCTCTCTCGTCAGAACCGTTTTTGGTGAGGGCCGACAACTTCTCAGTTTGAATCATTGAGTGAGTTAGCGAGAATGCGCTGAGGAAAAAGGAGTGGTGAGGCACATCCGAGCGACAAGGGGGGGGCACAATCAAGGCATTTTCTCCCCTGACTCTTTTTTTTTTTTTTGAAACTAGTAAAGTAATTACATGTTAGGGTGGCAAAACAGCACTTGAAACAACAAATTTTCTAGGTCTAAAGGCATGGTAACAGGGACTATGTGTTTCACTTCATGTCCGTCTCTAATTCCTCTGGAAAGGCTGTCCGCCACATTTCCCTCTGAGTTTACTCTACAAGGCTCTAGGTCAGCTTGGAGTTTAACTAACAGATCTTGGATAATTTTCCATTCTTCATTCACCGCGCAATCTTTGGATTTCCTCTTTTGGATCGCGTTTTCTGTTGGGGTGTTGTTGGTCCAGACTATGAAGGTCTTGCCTTGTTTTATTCCTAAAGTTTCAAGCATCAGGAGTCCTAGACGGATCACAACCGTTTCTAGCCATGCGATTCCCCCTGAGTGCCTTCTTATGCTTAGCCACTCTTCAGCCAACTGAAATTGGGCCCATTGATGGCCGACGAGGATGCCAATCCCAAAGCTGGTCGATGTGTCACCCACCCACCCGATTTCCGTTGGAGCGGGGTTGGGTATCAAGCTCGTTGGTTTGAAAGTCAGGAGCATGTGCATCCAACGCTCCAAGTCGCCTTTGACATCTTCTGGGAGATCTCTACGGGATGATTTCACAACCCAGCTTTTCATCCACCTATAGAAGCCACAGAGGTAGCAGCGTAGCTGTGGGAGGATGTATGAGACGTGGTTCAGTCGTCCGGTCATGATCTCAACGTTGTTGTATGAGAAACTTGTCTGTGCCGTGAAGGTTTTCAGCTGGTTGATCCGATCCATTAACTTCCCGTCCGGGAGTCTTACTGATTTATCCACTCTGTTCCATATAAATCCTATGTGCTTTTGTTCTACCGCAAATGGGGTGAATTTCTCGTTGTTTGTTTTTACTCCCAGTTCATCCGACCTAGCAACGACCTCTTCCATCCGAGTCGGCAAGTCCATGTGCTTGACGAAGAGGTTGTTGTCCACCCAGCAAAAGATTGTGATTAAATCGAACTCATGCAGCATGATTTTCTTCCATGCATCTGCTGGGCGGCCGAAGGAGCCGCAGCCAGCCACCCCCCCAAACGTTACTCTCGTGTCTAGTAGAAGTTTGTCATCAAAGGTTCTGATGAACAAGAACAGCCATTGATCCATTGCCGTTGGGATTTGTCTGTACAATTTTTCCCAATCGAAAATGGCGAAGGAGACAGGCTGAGGGATGTTGCGAAGGAAGCTTGATACAACATTGAAATTGTCCCAGGTTGTGAGGAAGTTATCCGGGTTTACTGATGGTATGCGTGGATTCCTACGTGGGAAGGATAAATTGTTTGTCGGTCTCAGAGATCCGTCCCCGTTGACGACTGCCCCAAGTGGGTTGTATCTGAAGAAAGGGAACTTCTCCTGTACTTGTTCATGCATGAACGGGCCAAACATACGGCCTGTGTGCAATTCTTTTTGCAGTTTTTCTTCAATTTTGTCTTGTACTTCCCAGGCGGAAGCATGGTTGGGTGGGGTGAAGTAAGGGATGTCTTCTCCTAGAGAGTGGGGTGGGATTCCTTGAGAGAAACCGTTGTGGAATCCTATGATGACGTCGTAAAATTCCGGCAGTAGTGCTGCGTTGTGGAGCGCTAGTTGCCATGCTGGCAAATTCATTTCTCACGTTACTGAAGTCGGCCAAATTTGGTTTTTTCCGACTTTTTGGACTCTTAACTCAACTTTGGCAGATGGCTCTTTGCTGTTGCACTGCGTGCTCTCACTTTGTTCAGGTGTAGGGCTCTTATCTATGTTACTTAAGTTTTTGGAGTACGAGTGTTTTGATGCAGAGTTGTTCGAGTGGGAGCCGTGGTTTGGGTTGAAATTGTTCCCCTTGTACCCATGGGTTCTTGGGGATTTCATGGAGTTAGGGTGTGTCGGAAGGGAGGAGGGCCCGGTTGATGTGCTGGCCATGGTCGCTTTCATGACTTGTGGCTTCTTGTCCAGCTTGGTTTGACCAGTTGTCGGATCCCAATTGGCCCGTACTCCCGACTCTGCATAGGGATTATCTGTGAATTCTAACTCCCCAAACTTACGTGCTGTCGCATAGCATGAGTGAGCAATTTTTGGGCAAAAAACCAAGATGTCAGCGACTGAGAGTGAGCCATCTGCAAGGAGGACTTGGTGGGCAAAAGTGTTCGTCCTCACTTGGACGTCATATCGTAGCGCAACCATGAAGCCATCTTCGGCCACCAACACGTCTGTGTTCGCTTTGTGGGTGAGGAGCCACTTAGCCATCTTTTTGTAATCAAATTCTTCTAAAAGTGTCTTATGGAACGACTGGTGATTGTTGGTCCACTCGGTGAAAGTCTGGGTCCACTCGCTAGGGTAAGGGAGACCCGTGTAACGGTTGCGGTCGGAGGATGAAGCGTCGTATTTCAATTTCTTCTCCGCATGGTAGAGGATTGCGCGATTTTTCCAACCTTTGTTGAAAATAGTTAGAGGAATCGGTCCTCTCATTGCTTTAATATTTTTGTGGAAATATGGTGTGGATCCCATTTCGTCGTGTTTGGGAATGGCACCGGTCGCAAACTGTACTTCTCCTGCCATTGACTCTTTGTCCGAAGATTGATGAGCGTCGACAGAAGCTTTGTCGGCGATCTTCTTACCGTTTGTGGTTTTTGCTTTGACTTTTGCGGTCAAGAGAGACTTGTACATCTCGTAGTACCAGTCCAACAGGGCCACATCACCAGCTTTTGTCACAGCAAGACATTTTTCGATTAGCAGAGCAATTGCTTCATTGTCTTGAAAAGAGGACAAATCCGTCTTTTGGACACTACGGGCTGTTCAAATCATGGTTGTACGGCTTGGAGTCAGCTAACTGCTCGAGATGAATGTCTAAATCTATCGCAAAAAGTGATCTACCTGTTTTACCGCCTAGCTGGTTTTTAGTTGGGTTCGTTATCTGGAGCTCCTTGTCTGAGAGAACCAGTGGGTCTAAGGATCATGACAGAAAATAGGTGTTTGATAAGTAACAACTATTTCTTTTTTTTTTTTTTTTGAAAAGGGTATGACAAACCGTTACCGGTGCCAAGTCGTTTAGCTAAACTTTCAGTGTTTCGGTAGCTACCTTGACGGGGTAGATCTGGATATTTGCCTGTCTGGGCTTGGTCAAAGTCGCTTTGGGGTAATCCTCTCTTTTTTATTTATGGGGGTTTCCGTGGCTGACTGTTGGGAAGACAAGTCTTGGGGATTTTCTATTGGGAGGGGGGGGGGCTGTAGAGTTCAAGGGCAATGCTGAGTGGCTACTTGCATCGTTGCTCTGGGCGATTGTTTGGGGGTTAACATTTGAGTTGATTGCGTTGGACATGCTAATCAGTTTGTTTGACATTTGGAGATGAAAGATGGGAGAAGTGATTCTTTGATCTGCGAGTTTGAAGGAGAAGATGAAAAAAGGATGGGTAAATTTTGGAAAGTCTAGGGGGTTTCTAATTGGGATGGAGGAGTTGTCAGAAGGGAAGGGTCTTTGTCTGAGTGCAGGTGACGGAGTGAAGAGCAAGAGAGCCGGTAAGGACGATCCGTTTAAGAAGGGGGGAAGTAGTCTGATCCTACCGGGGATAGCCGTCCGGATTGAGCATGACACGCCTTGGTTTTCTCAACCTAGTCCCGAAAGGGACTAGCCGTATTTGTTTCTATTTGCAGAGGCGTCACAACTAGTGTTAATTCCGCCGTCCCCCGGGCAAGCCACTTTCCCCTTTACGGACCCTGTAACCTCCCGCTACGCTCTGGTAATCTACAATCACATTTGCAGTGTGTCAGTTTGATCTTCATTGGGGGAACTTTCATGAGTAGGTCCAAGAAGCTTTAAAACACTGACAAGCTTTGTGTAGTTCCACCAAGTATGAGATTAAAATAAATGATTGCAATGTTAGACACAACAAGAGGCGGGGATTTTGTGCAGAGTTTGATATCATGGGGAAAGCTCATAAAGAATGAGTGGATATTGAAATGAACAGAAAAACAATCTGTAGCAATACTCATCATCTCAGCATGATAAATCAATTGCTGTATGAAGCTTCTCTGGCATGGTGATTTTCTGGCAGGCACCTTTTGATACTATGATCCACAAATCCAATCAAATTATTGCAACAATCTTACCTCTCATTGATTTTTCAGCCAGACACCCCATGGAAATAGGATGATCATCATATCTACTAGTCCATCATCATTAGCACCACCATCTTCCAAATTGATGCACATGTGGGCCATGTGCAAGGGGGGAAGGTACCACACAACAGGTCCACTGGCAACAGTCATCTCTTGATGTGATCTGAATAGAGTTGAGGTTAAGAATAAGACTAAGTGCACCAAAGCATCTAGATGGTTCATCAGCAAAGTGGCTGAAAATTTAAGCATGAAAAATCCTGATGTCCCTGAATCAAATTATTCCCAAATGTCTTGGTCTCCACTGTGCAAGTAGCTATAAATTGAAAAGTCCAGAAAGATTCTTTTCCTGGCTTGGAAGGTTCGTCAACATAATCGCAAACCTCAGCGGGGCAGTCGGATCCCCGGACCCCAAGCACCTTGAGAGGTATCCGGGCCCCCGGGGAACTTGTTCACTCAAAAACCAAAATCAAACTGTGTGCTAAATCCCCGGGACATTCAAACATGCCTCAAAAAAGATGTGAGAACCATGATTGACCAATTCGTGATTTGAAAACCAAGAGGGTTAAATAAAATAGAATAAATCGTATCGAACGAACTGCTTGATAATCAACGCAAATCATCTAGGAGACATACATTTTTTGTTGAATGGCAAAGTGATTTGGAAAAAAAAGACAATCCACTAGAGATAGTTCAAGCTCCAAGATACCTTCGATCAAGGAGAAATTTTCCAATCACCCCCATGGCCAAACCATTGAACGCCTTCACGATGTTAAACCCCTGGGCCACAATCGAAAGGAAGGGAAGACTAATGATTCCTGGGTCAGTCGGAACCATGTCGTGTTGCCTACAAATTCACCGATTCAGCTGGGTCAAGTACGGATGGTGGATTGAGAAAATAGCAAGACTCCTAACCTGCATATTCTATATTTTCCATCACTATCCTTAATCAAGTCGATTCGGATCCAGAGTGGTAAAGAAAATTTCATGCTCTCAAAAGGAAATAATCGTGGGTAGAGGTGCTCGGTTAATTCTGGTCCAAAGCCAGGCAATGATCCCGACCAAAATTTGATCAGCGGGTACTTGAACAAGGCTCTTATTAGATTTGGCTCCAAAGCTTACCAATCGCTCCTTGAGTTTTATCTTCATTGAACATTACCGCGTGAAATTCGATTTTGTTGTTGATAGTAAAAACCCGACTACGTAGAACATTGGTTAAGGTAGAAAGTTATGTCAGACTAAGAGCACGCTTTCATAGTTTTCATCTCATGCAAAGGACACAGATCAGAGGAAAACCCACAGAATTTTGTAAATGCCTTTCAAATGTTCCCGGCTGCCTCTTGCTCGGGTCTGATTGAGGAGCGGATGCAAGATAAACGCGTCTTCGGTGAAATATCTAGAGGTGGGCACAAATGCGAGAAAGAAATCAGCATCAGTTCGCCTCAAGCGAGGTTAGTCCGGCAGAAGAGATAAAGATTTTTCTCGAGATAAAGACAAGTCTAACTTTTCCACATTCGAAGCAAGCACCCATGCTTCATAAGGCTCCACAAGTGATCGCACAACGTCCTTAATCTGACTTGGACACGGAGTTCCAATAAATAATAATAATAAAATTATGGCATTAGTTGGCACCCAATTTCAAGGATCTTTGGGCTGAGTCCTACGAGCAAGAAATTCCGGACAACAACATAGAATCACTGAGATTGTACGCGTACCTCGGCCACTGGATCATCCATTTCACGCAACTTCAAGGTAAGACAGAAAGATTTGACCTGATAAGGGGGAGCAGAGAGTGAGCGACGAGATCAAATCCACCTGTGGCCGACCACCCCTTCATCTCGGGGCCATAGTGTACATAGTAGCGCAGCCGCGGAAATAAGGGGGTGTGTAGAGTCTATTCCGCAGGGGTAATACATCACACGCGGCGGAACAAGTCGGACGACCAGAGTTCGATTTGTCCAAGCCAATTACGCCTCTTAAACCTCTCGCAGAGAACTAGAGGTCAGTCCTGGCTGGGCATCATTCGGACCCATGCGCGTTCGGAATTCGAGGTGTGCCGAACTTAGAGGCCTGTTGTGTGTGAAGGGGTACATCAGGACGCATGTTGATCTAAACTCTTCCAACATTTCCAACAGGGTGCCTCAGGATCCGTCGCGATTCGCCAACTTCCGGTAATGACTAGCTTACCAAATGTCATATCCGCCTGACAGCCCAGACAGGGCCGGGTCTGCAGCTTCAATGCTTGTAACAGGACTGCTTCTTGTTTGGTCGATCTGTTCTCATTGATTATTATTTTCTTGCATCAAGGTAGCAGCCACCAACAGGGGCTAACAAGTGGAGACTCTGCTCTGATTGAGAACATAAGCATAAATTGGGGTAATTAACTTTGTGAGACCAGGCAGGTATCTCCCCCTGATTCATGAATTTGCTGTAAATTTACTCTCCCTGAAGTTCACAACCTCTTTAACCTCTTTGAAGGCATACAAAGAGCCTTCCCTCCAAGAGTATGTATGCCCTTGGGCAAAGAAAAATCCAAATGAAACAAAAAAATAGCATATTGGGAGCACATTAAAGATGGAAATGCATATTTATGAACGCTGAAAAGGAAGAGGTTGAATAAATATAAATATTAACATATTGAAATATCTGATGAAGTGAATTGATTAGTCCCTGGCTATTGATAACAGAAGCAATCTTATAAATTCAATTGATGTTTGTAAGGTTTATCCATGAACATAATGCTATCAGGAGGAGTTTGATGAGTGTCTCTTTATTATGCAGAGATCCTTTTTCAAAAAGAACAGATGAACCTTGACAATTGTGTTATGTTTTTATGAAATATCTTCAGAAATTAGTCCAAACAACTCCCATGAATTCTACAGAAATAATCTGAGAATTTGCTCCGAAAATTGGATGGAGTCGAATTTGGATTCTGAGCACCATCATCTCAGGATCTCTGGGTTTGGTTCAGAGGACATGATTGAATTCTGGAAATTGTTGCTCAGGATTCATTTGACCAAGGCCCTATAAGGAATTCATCCATTGCACGCAATCTACCTGCAAACACAGGAGTAATTCCCACACCATCTGTTTTTTTTGTTATGATTAGATGCTAAAATCTTAATCTGAAAACTTTCACATTTCAAGTGTTGGTCTGGAATACAAACACAACAAAGCAAGATTGTTTTCTGAATGTCATATATTGTGTTTTGAGCTCAACCAATCACTGCCCTTGAACAATCATTATCCCAAGTCAATTATCTGCTTGGCCCAAAACATTTGGGGCTTGGTTAATTGGCTCCCAAAAAGTGAAGAGTCTACTCCCAAATTGGAGGGACGTCCTGCGGAATGTCTCAGGACATCCCCTCCCCCTATTTCTTTCCACAAAGTTTTGGGAGTCAATCCTCCAAAACCGTCAGTGCAAAGTTTTGGGAGTCAATCCTCCAAAACCGTCAGTGGCTTTGGGAGTCAACACCCCCAAAAAATATAATTAAAACTCCCAGTCAATTTGTGAGTTGATCCTCCAAAATCAAGTAGGCATTTGGGAGTCAGTGAGTTAAAAATTGCCCCCAACAGCCGGAAGGATTGTTACTGGCCACTGAGAGCACACTCTTGAAAATCAGGAGGAACTCTCCTGGCTGTCAAGAGTGTACTTCCTTCCTCTCCTTTGTTGAGAGTATACCCTCTTGCTAACTTAGCAACAAGTCACTCACTCAGAAGGCCTGGTTCCAGGCTGGCACAAAGCAATTCTCCAATGGAGGGACTTGCAACCAAATTCCACATTTTAGCTTGTTAGTGGGGAAAAACGTTTCCTGGACAATTGCCCCCTCTTCCCAAAGGAAATATCTCCCACCATTTGGGCCAGGTGAAAGGTCTCGATCGTATCTAATTTCTTGTCTCATCCACAGAACCAGGGGCCCTATACATCAGCCCCCACCAGCCTTTCAAAAAGCTCATTTTCTCCTATGAGGTTCATGGGGGACCTCAGGTTCCTTCATCAAACATGATCTGTCTTCTATTGTACTACGCTGGCACCCGTAATTCCTGTACAGAATGAACCACAGGCTCCACATGGTAACTGTCACTGTCAGGCACATACTATGTGTTTTGTACCACCTGATCATACACAACCATAAATTGATTTTCAGCTGGAATCGAGTCCCCCACATTCTATGCAAAGGATTCATAAGTGTTTGCACCACAAATATTACAAGAAACAATTGTGGGCACAATCACATCAAGGGTGATATGCTTGTCTATGTGACAAGCTTTGCTGCTATTGATTTGGTTGGATGAGCTGGGAGTCATGGGCTGTTGTGAGTGAAAGAGCCACCAAAAACAATGATGATGATGGAACTCATAAGCCCTTCTTTCAGAGGCTTGCTTTGCTTTGCAAGGTGCCCCTGGCCCTCTGGAATCAGAGGATCAGATTAAGAAAGAGCCTCTTAGTTTTCACAAGTGTATACTCTCAATGGCCAAGAGAGGATTCCTCGGCTGGCCGGTGAGAGTTCAGGATGTAAACGGGTCGGGTTTGGGCCCAAAAACAGTGCCCAAACCCGACCCGACACCTATGTCGGGTTGGGTCGGGTCGGGTCAAACTTGAATATGTGCTGCCCAGACCCGAACCCGTCTTGGGACTTTTCGGGTTCGGGTCGGCAGTTTGTATGCCGGGTTCGGGCCGACCCGACTGTTTTAGCTTTGTAGAGCAACTCTGACAAAAACTGACCTGGCCCGACTATCAAAACACCTGCTCGAACCCGAGCCGCTAAGCTTGCGGGTCGGGTTTGGGTCATG